AAGACCTGTGTTTCCAAACCGGAAATATCATCTCCGTACCGAATTTTTCTGCTCCAGTACATCCATCATGCTTGAATGAACAATTTGATCCGTCCGATCATCACACGGAACTGTTGTACAATAGTTATTTTGATGAGATGCCCTCAGCTTGAGGAAGTGCAGATGAGGTTTAAAAGTCGTTGCCGTTGTGGAAGAGGTTCCATCCGGCAATATCCGGTTCTGCAGGATGGGTTCGAACGACACTTCTTTGTTGTTTTGTTTTTGGAAACTCCAACTGTCATGTTCTCGTGGGTTCGGGACAATTTTTTTTAGTCTTGNTATTTTGATGAGATGCCCTCAGCTTGAGGAAGTGCAGATGAGGTTTAAAAGTCGTTGCCGTTGTGGAAGAGGTTCCATCCGGCAATATCCGGTTCTGCAGGATGGGTTCGAACGACACTTCTTTGTTGTTTTGTTTTTGGAAACTCCAACTGTCATGTTCTCGTGGGTTCGGGACAATTTTTTTTAGTCTTGCAGTCATCGCACCGTGAAAATGATTCGTATCTTCTTTATTTTTTCGACTCTTGGATGGTTTTTTTTTTAAGTTAGGCACGTTCAAACGGTTTCAGTTCAAATTTCGCTAGCACGATACATACTTATCCCGAAGTTTATTATATTCTTTTTGAATGCAGCAAAAAAAAATTCTCCGCAAGATAACTTCATGAGATGCTTATTTGAAATTATTTGTGGGAGGATTCCCAAGGCCTTACATCTTTCGAGACTTGGCAAATTTTATCAGCAAAAAGAAAACCATTTACGAAGCAATGTAATCCTGTTGTACAATAAAATTATAAGTGTTTAACTATAATCTCAATGGACTAATGGTAGAACTTAAGCTCAGCACATTGAGAAGGAGAACGATGAAAGATCTTCGAAACGTCGAGCGGGTTCACATCGAAGGATTTCGGCATTTTTTGTACAGTCATTCCGGGAAATTGAGTCATCAGTTCTTCTCACTTTCTTGAGTCTAGCATAAAACTACTGTATATGAAATTGGCAATACTGTACTGTACAGTGGGGTCAAATAGATGCGGATGTAATTGGTTTTTGGATCTTGTCCCTATATTTTTGACATGTCTGTTTGTTGGATCACGTTTTCCCGTCGATTTCAGCAGAAACCTGTTTAATTGATTTTCCTGTTGGTAGAAAATTTGGAAGAAGTCCACCGAAAATTGAAGGATTTTTTTTTTTACTTCATAAGATACAGAAAGTAACTATGAAGAAGAAAATTACACAGAATGTGCCTTTTTGTCATGAAAATGAGCCCAAACGCAAAGAACAAGCAATAAATAGCTTTCTATACGGGACACAGATGATGGGATAAGCCCCAAAACGAAAAGTACAAAATTTGCTAATGTTCTGGATTATGAATCAGAGTAAATTTATGAAAGGATTTATTTTGAATTTTCGTGAGTATAAATAGCCCAATTTCTTCAGGAAATTTCGAAGTTTTTAAAAATGAAACGATTCGATATTTCTATAAATTTTCCAAAATTTTCCATATCTTGCGACATGTTGTGGGAAACATTTTTTCCGTGTTCAAAGTCGAAGTGTCCGTTATGCCAGGGCCACACTGCACTTAGGAAGGGAAGGTATATTCATTATGTCCTGAAGGAGTTACAGTTTTTTTGCAACCGAGTCCTTCGACATTATTCTGGGCTGCAAAACGATAGGATTCAGCTCGCATGCATTTCTTTTCACTTGTATCGCCAGTCTTCTGCATACAAGGAAGAAAATACCGATAACAGTCAAATCTCGTCACAATAATCCATTTGAATTCAGCTTCAAAAGCTTCGTTATAAACACAAATTTGTAGAAAATTGAAATTCTGTAATACGGTGGCTGATAGAACTAAACTAAAAATGTGTTAAAAGCAAATACGGTACTGTATTTCGTTGTAACGATCTTTGTTAATTGCGACGAGATTCTTCTGAATATCAAAGTGAGATGAATTATTTCTCGTTCTTCCAGAAGAAGCCTTCCCGTTGGACAAAACGCTGGAAGTGAGCTGGGCAAAGCCTCAGACCGACAAGTATTCCATGATCGGGTTCCGGCGAGACTTGAGGCAACACGGGACCATTGCCCAGCGCATCCGGTGGCGAGACCATCGCCCGGGGTTGTGCTCCCCCTTCCAAACTTCCCTTTTGGGCCAAAGACCCAACGATCACTTGTGGCATTCCCAAATGGCATTTTATTCCTCACTTCATAGTCAACTCCCAGTGACCATTGGATCTCACTCCGCAGCCGCGGTGCAAAATATGTAAGTCCGCCAAAAAGTACTGTACACTCGAAACTCATCTTGAAGTCGAAATTTACAAGGATCAGAGAAAACATCAAGTTAGGGAGAGTTCCAATTAAAGAAGCAAACATTTTTGGTTGGGAGTAGGGGGAAGCAAGGAGATTGAAAGAAAATTGTAATTGGTGATATTTTGGGCTTTAAATGGCTTCTTAAATGAGTTGACCAGATACTTAAGTTAGAGGCAAGAGTTCATTTGCCCAATTTGTCTTTAAATTCCTTCCAAAACACATTGTTTCATATTTAAAGGTTCTTTCTCTCTCTGTCTCTCCTGTGTCAATAAAATAATGTTCAAAGACTTTCAGAAAATTCCAGTTATGGAGGCTTCAGAGTAGGAAAAGCCTTTGAAGTATCGAGGTTTTTATTATAATGCCTTATGTTTCTAAGGGAATTCAAAAAAATCCGAAATTGAGAGATATTCGACCTCTTTCGGAGTTTTTATTGTTTTTGAAACCCTCAGCAGTCCAGAAAAGAATCTGTGCATGCGTTTGCAAAATACTCTCCCTGAAACTCGAAAAAAAATTAGAACGAATATTCTCAATTTCAAGAAATAATTAAATGTATACTGTGGCTCTTCACTTTGTTCTCAGCTGTGCTCTCGAGTTTTCAATTTTCAATCCCCTGGATGGCAGTGCTACGATATTTTTGCAAATTTGTCAGTTCAAAGAAGCAAACGAATATTCATACATGGCTATATTCTGTGCAAAAAATCGTTTGGATTTTTTTGCGAATCTTTTAATGTCTGAAGCATTTAGAAAATGTTTCAGACTTCATGTATCCACGTATGATTGTCTTGGGAATGTACTGTATAGCTTTATTATATTGAGTTTCAATTTAGGTTACAGTATTCTATTGTTCGATATTCGAGTAAACGGAATTAGAACTCAAAAGTACGGTATACACTTTTTTCGGTTATTTCGTCATCTAGAATTTTTTCTGCTTCAGACAAGTAGGGTGGCCGTCATGATGTAGATAAAAGTTTCGCTTGTTCTCGCGATGACATTAAACCGAAGTTTGCGATAAAGGATTCGAGGAAAAAGATCCCGTTAGCTGAGTCAGTCTTTTCATGGTTCTTATTAATTTTTTTCTGTTTTATTCAGACTTTTTCCGCAATCTTCCAATGTGCCGCTCTTGAGCAGTGGAATCAATGACCCGGTCACGTCGGGGGGGAATTGCTTCCAGAATCATTCCGAGGTGTGTGGTAATCATCATTTATGAAGAAAGCGATTGCACTGTTTTTTTTTTTTTAGCCCTGCGGCCAACTTCTGAATTTTAATTGACTAGAATCTTGATTGCGCCACCGGAAGAGTGAGTGAAATTTAAAATCATGATTTCTTTTCTACATCGCAGGGCAACGGTTCCGGGCGAAGTGAGTCAATCAGGAATGCGAATTCTCCCTCAAGGAGATTCAACAATGCTGAACAAAGTTTTGTTGATTCAGTTATTCATTCAGAGAATTCAACATCGGTGTCGTGTTCAGGTGAATTTTTCTTCCAGCATCACGGTTGCAAATAAAAAAAAAATTGCGAAGAGCTTCTGCAATATTCTGAGGAAATCATTATTTTTTTAAACTCTCTGATAAAATTGAAATGGAAACTTCCGAACAACTTATCTTGATTTGAACCTGCCTTGCTTCAAATTTTATAATACTGTAATGTTCTGATCTTCTCATAAAAAAATGGTACCAAATTAAAGTACCTCCTTTCGAAGTCCTTTATTCAAGCACATCCATTTGTTCTTTACGTAACATGTGCATTCTTCTTGATGTACTGTACAGTATTCATTTGAAAAAGAGCCATTGCAGACTTCGCATATGAACCTAACTGAATTTGAAGAGAACTATCATGTCGCATATTTTTTCAAATAATGCACCAAATCGTCTCTTCATTAAACTTTGATTTTTTGATGATGCAAAAGTTATTTTTTCTATGTTCCTCACATGATGAAACAATCCTTGGAAGGACCACATTTATCGAATCAGTGCAATAACAATCGTTATAATGAGGTTTCAGCTAAAAATTAAAATGTTCAGATGAAGTTAGTATGCCATTATTATTCTTATTCATAAACTGCTGGGATCAAGACAAAATTTAATATAATGACTGGCCGACTTGAACTTGGCTTAACATATCCTCGTCTGACCAAGACTTTCGTGTCCGAACATTAAATTTAGTCATGAAGAAATTCGTTGTAACGGAATTTTACTTTTATTTGTATGCCTTTCTAGCAGAACTGACACGCCCGCTTCATTTTTATCGATATATTTATTTATTTTTGTACAGAGCTCGTGACCAACTGCCCGGACGATGCTCCCCTCAACCGAGTGAGATGCTCCTACAATCCACTGTACGTTTCAAGCACTAGACCTGCAGCCTACGATTCTTCATTGCCGCCATCAGCAGCAGCCACGACTAACGTTCATCTCCAGCAGCAGCAACAGCCGCCTTGGATTTTCCCGCATTTGTCTGCACCATGGCCAGGGAGTCAGGCTTTGTTGCATCATATGCTGCCGCAGTTTGCCAACCGTCAACACGGACTGTATCACGGAAGTGAGCGAAAAGAATCTTTCGGGGCAGCTTCTGGGTTTTCTGGAACCAGGCGAGCGATGATGAGATTGGGTGGCGATCGGCGGAGCTCGGTGTGCACTTCGAGTAGCAGCAATGATAGTGGTTCCGAAGCTAGTGCTGGGCATAATAATAACTTGGGCTGGTTTGAAGGATGCGATCTCGACCTGCTTGCTAGCTTGTCTCGTGTGTGAATCCAGGTTTCGTCGTCGTTCGGTGGTACTTGTTTTGTTTCCTGCTTTTGTTCGCATTTGGTTTTGCTTCGTCGCATTTAGAAACGACTGTGTGTGTGTGTGGGTTTTGCGGTGGTTGAAACTGCGGGAAATATTGTGCTTTACTGTAGGTCGTTTTGGAATTCCGCAATTGTCAAGTAGTCAAGCTCTTCACATATTTTACAGAATCAAAACGCAAAAAAATTGGAGCTTTTCTAAGAACAAGACCATAGTCGTTGAATAATCCATAGCAGTAGGAAGTGAACTCGAAGAAGGTGGACTATTTTACCGAAGAACACATTTTTCTTGAACCGATCCACTGTTGATTTTTGATGGCGTCGCATAAAATGCTCGAATTCATCTTCCTTATTAATAACATTTTACCGCCTTACGTTTTTATATTTAACGTTGTATCTTTTACCTTTGATGAACGCTTTACAGCGGTCAGTCTTTCAGCATCCGGAGAACAGTACTGTATTTCCAATCTAAGAAAATTTCGGTATTCGGTTTCATCGCTTTTAACGATATTATTTGTCTCTAAAAAAAAAGCAGGTAGACTCTCCATGCAACGAGTTTCTCTTCAGTGATTGTCTCAGTACAACAATTTTTGTGGGTGGTCCCCATGTTATACGGGTTCTTTACAACGAATGTTTTTCTGGTTCCTTGAATTTCGTTGTAGAGATGGACTCTCTCTGTAACGAAATTCGAGGGACGAGAAAAAATGCTTCGTATAAAGATTTTTTTGTGTGGAGAGAGTCCACCTGTATCCCAAGAATTGGACATATTCATACAATTTGGCGGGATCTTATTTTTTAGAACGTTTGTAAACTCGTGGCGGATTTTTAAATCCCCCATCGACCGCTATTAAGATAATGTCTTTTTGAATGAAAATTAAAATTCCAGGTTATTTGAGTGCTGCAGAAAAAAAACGAGGACTCGAATGCAATCATACGAATATTTATAAGCTTGATCTGGACCTTAGATGTACCGTACGTTGAAATCAATTATTGAGGTTCATAATTTTTGGGGAAAACCTATCTCGTCGTTTATTGAAAAAAAATTAGTGTAAATCGGCAGGCGCAGCAATACTTCGTGGAGCATTCGGTGATAAAATGTAACTCCTATATCTGATAGAGTGAAAAACGGTTTCAGCGAGAAACTTCACATTGATACTCTTTTATTATGCTACAAATAGGAAACTTTCCCATTTGAATTTTTTACGAGATGAATTCCGCGAAATGAGGTTTTACGTGGTAAATTTTACGATCGTCACACTTGTCTGAAAGGCAGAATCAGAATTGGAAAACGATTTAAGGCATTTATATGAAAGCAGTGAATTCTGTATACCGCAGTACTTTCGTACAATCTTTTCAAGAACATCATGTATATTCCTTAACGTTCTTCTGCTGGGTTCCGTTAACACCCAACAGCTGCTTTGGACTTCTCGAATCAGTTTTGATTGCCCGGAATCTGTATTTTATGGAAAAATTTTTTTTAATCCTCATCGTACATTGTTTGGTTGATATAACTGATTATAAAATCTGAAATTCCTCGTCTTAATCCGACGGACATCCTGTAAATTTTGTTTGATCCGTGCAGTTCCCTGGTGCCCATATTTGGAAAAAACATTTTGATTCAATGGTTGTAATGCGATTCTTTCCAGTAATATTCTTGCTTTTCGTGCGTTTGGTTTCCTTGATTACGATTGAAAGGTATTTTTGGTATAAAGATGTGCATTAGATATAAATACGAGCCAAAATCCATCATGGTGTACCCACTTGAAATTTTTCGCCGCGTTATCAATGCTGAATCCTCGGAAATGTTATTGTTGTTTTTCCCTTCGATGAATATTGTATATATAGCCACGATAGCGTTGGATATGAATATATGATGCGTGAATGTTTACTGCTTTTGCTTCAGCTTGCATTATTTTTAGTGGAATGTGTTGTTTTTACAGTTTGTCCTCGAATTTTTTTGCGAACGATTTTCTATGTCTCGCAAAAGCTTGTCTCGCGGATTTTTCATTCAAGAACGATCTCGTTCGGAAATGAGCAACTTCGCAGTTTTAAAGCTTTGGCTCCTAAACCTCAAGGAAATAGATATGCATCTGATATTTCGAAGCAATGGACCCTTCCTCATATACAAAAAAGAAAGAAAACATTATTAAAGTTTCTTCGTTGGGTTCTCTCATTTTGATCTAGTTCCCTTCGTCATACCCGGTGGCGAATACGGCGGAGGCAGCTTCGCCTATCTGCACGACTAACGGAGCCGCCATCTTAGCCAAGGACGCATTTCTATGCATGCCTCAAAGAGGTCGTAAAAATTTACTGCCAACAGCACCTTCTCGTCATGGGCGACGCGTAATACATACGCACGGATGCCGAACAAGGGAAGTGTGTCGTCAACGTGTGATGTTTCTTTGCTTATCTCGCGCGTTTCGTTATCATCTGCTGCTCTCTTCAACCCGCCTCCTTTTTTTTGGTTGTGTGTGTGTCTCAACGTCTCTTTGCTTTGCAATATGACGTGAACGCCGAATGTGATACAGGAAAAAATTTCCTGCGAAGCCGCATTATATATATACAGTAGGTGTCACTTATTCTTGAAAGAGTAAAAATCCTTTGCCGGAGCTTAAACACACCACGAGGGATAAAGTAAAGAAGCTGATCTGACATATGTAGTCGTATAGGACCCGAGATGTGGACGGAATCGGTGCTCAGACCAGCTTGTCAATCTGTCAGAATGTCCGCATGTTGAACCACACTTTCCATTAAACTTCAATGTGAATATATCGAGTTGGGTTCTCCTATTAATTAAACAATTGGAAAAAGTCCCCCAAAATTGAATAAAAATAATTTTTTCGACTGCAAGATACAGAAAATAACAATGAAGAAGAAAACCACGCATAATAAGATCTTTCAGCATGACGAGGAGCATAAAAAGCAAAGAACAAGCAGAGATTTTCCATGCAGTGCACAGACATCGGAATGAGCTTTGAAAAAAATTTAAAATTATCCTGTTTTGGAATATGGCTTATAGTAAATTAAAAAAAATTAAGAAGCTCTATTTTCTTAAAATCGATATTAAAATTTTTAATAGAAATTAATTCCATTAAGAAATAATGTTGGTAACATTTCTCTGCCTTGAAACAATGTCCGGATATTCGGGCAGATTTTTTAAAGTTTCATTTATGTCTCAAAGTCGAATCGTCCGCTTGTCTGGGCCTCACTGTCTTGGTAGATAAGTTATCCAGCTTCAATCAAAAGCAACGATCCCACATGTCACGAAGTTCTATGATTACTGGATATGGAAAATCTTTCTGTATATACAGTGAGCCTCTTTATATGTACAATATACCATATAACACTCTTTGTAAATATTGGGTGTTGTAACTTGAAGAAACGCATGAGAGGCAACCGTACAAATAACGGACCTATATTCTTTGGCGTTCCGGTGTCATTATCTTCAAATTATTTTTTCATTTCTACCTTCTCCCCTAGAGTGAAATGAAGAAATGAGAGAAAAAAAACTTAAGGATTGGATCAAACTGAAGAGGCTGCCATCCTCGCAGGTTCAAGACGCATCGAGTGTTTTTAATTGTAGAATCAAATTTCCTCGGTAACGGTATCATTTCTCAAACAACTACTGTACCAATAATTTTTTCTCATCACAAGAATTCGGAAAATTTGCAGAATTTTCATGACGCAGAATCTTTGGATGGAAAGAAGGCTAACGCATTTTAGAAAAATGGAACTTGAATAATGAATGATGATGGAAAAGTATATCATTAGTCATCGTGATATGCAATCATGGTTGACAAGTTTAAACTCCGAAGTGTGTCCAATTTCTGCGTGCACAAATAATACTTGTTTTATGCATTTTCGAAAACACCGTTTCCTGTAACCATATTCCGTGCACAGAGCTTACATTCCGTTATTGAATTTTGGAAATGGAGCCTATATGCGGTGATCATCAACCAATACAACAATTTTTCAAGAATTTGTCGTTCTGATGTTGCGTGATACAAACGTCGTACAGTATGTTTATTTCAAGCGTGAGAAGTGCTAAAGAATTTGTCGTATATTTTCGGACTAAATATCTGGAAGAATGTTTCCGAAATCCCGTACAGATTTCTTTTTGTGTGTGAGGGAGGTTCTTCTCACTTCCACGTCCGGTGTCATCAACTTAACTCATCCTGGGTTTTTCCTTTGAGAACAGGAGTCGCCTGAAAGTCCTCGTCATGTGTTTGTTATACTGTATGTATTCGATTGGTTATTTCCTAAAATTGTGTGATTCCGGCGACGCATATTTTACATCTGAAAAAATAAAATAAAACTGCGTCGGACGTTCAAGTGAAGAGAACCACAGAGGGGATGAGAAAAAGCGTTTCTGCACAACGTTCTAGTGGTGGAGGCTTAAAACAAAGAATCAGGAAATCTCTGCGTCTCTAGCTCAAAATATGCTGAAAAGTGATACACATGCATCTTCGAGAACTTCACTATTTTATTACTTGTCCGCGGTAGTCTCATCTACAGAAGTTCAACGATCATGTGAGGTCTCATTATTTCTCGCAATGGTGTGAATTTGGATGACATATTTGCGTATATTTCTGCGTGCATCTGAGGCGGAAAGCCTTTTTCGTTTCCGGTTTATCTTCGAACAAAACCAGTGTGGGTGTATTTGGTCGCGTTTGCGGCTCTTGTAACTTCCTTTTTTGGTCGGACGTGTTATCCAGTCGATCCGATAAGGTAAATTATTCGGGACATGCGCAAAGGAAATAAAACCATTTACGTTTGATGCAAAAGCGCGAATTTCACTCTTGTAAAAAGAAGAAAAGAGGGAGTCCAGAAGAAAGAAATCAGTCATCGCTTTTTAATTATTCATGATGAGCAATACCAACACACCCAGGAAGCACGTCGATACAATGGAAAGAAAAGTGTCAGCAGTAAATCGAAGCATCGGAAGCGGAACGAAAATTGCTACAAAAAGTCGACCGAAGTCGTCTTGACTTGGTTTTTAACGTATCCGTAGCATCCGATGAGCAAACGTCCGTTGAGCTGATTATTACAAAGCCACCTTCATATTTTTGCATTTTTCTTTTAGCAATTATTTGCTTCAGCAAGCAGGATACTTCTGGTGTTGCTGCTGCTGAAACGCCATTGATTTCGGGCGATGTGGACGACCCGTGTTTCCTGAAAAATGGCAGGAAAATAATTTATAAAGCCCATAAACTCTGTCACTTGGAGAGTCATTTGGAATTTTTTTCGATCATAATTTGAATGATTAATGTTTTAAATTTGCGTATAACCCTCACCTGAACGTAACGGATATTTAAAACATATACTGTACATAGTTGCGTATAAGGACGTGTGTTACCCGTTTCAAGGTTCAAATTTTCAAGACAAATCCCAGGCAAAATTTGAAATATTTTTCAGAAGCTGCTATCCGATCTTTCTGATATACTTGAGTACCACATGCACCTTTTTTCCCAAATTTCAGAAGAAAAAAAGGGGTGAGCATCATAAGCAGGTACAAAATTTTCAAGAAGTTTTAAGAAGTTATGTTTGCATTATACCTAATTATATTGGAGAAATTTGGAACAAATATAACAAGGAAACATTTTTGCATTGAAAAAGTTGAAAATTCATCAGATGTTTGTTCAATTCACGCCTAAAGTCAATTTTTTTTTGTTTTTATTTTTGAAATTTTATGGTTTTAGATTCACTAAAAAAAGGGGTGTGCATCTTACTTGGGGATAAGATTTTTGAAAAATTTTCAATTGAAAAACCCCCGTGCGCGCCTTACTCAAGGGCGCATGGTACTCGAGTAAATACGATATTCATCAAGCGATCTTTGGAATTAACATCTCACCTAAATGCTGTATCTCCTTTTGTTTTGATCATTACCGCATGTACATTGAGATTTAAGCACTTTGAAATACAAAAATCTTGCAGCAGATCCTTGATAATTGCAGGACATGATCATGAATACTGTACTACAGTAAAATAGCAAAGCTGTTGGGATCATTAAAATAGCTTTGTTATGCAATTAATCTCTTGTAACAACAAACACCATTACAATAATTTCTTCAGTAAAACAAACTTTCTCCAAGTCCCTGCAGAAATCCTATAGGGTACATGTAATGAAAATCTTGTTACAAGAAACTCTTCAATTGCAGTGTGAGAAACTTTTGTCAAGGGACATGTGATTTTCCTCATGAAAAATCGCCAATGAAGGCGATTTCAAATTTCCCACAGAAAATTTAACTGTGACTTGTTCTTGGAACATAAATAGAAGGTGGAATCAGCAAGGACTGAAATACTCCAAAATCAACCTGAACATCCTCTCCGTCAAAATTTTTCCATGGGCTAAGAACAATTTGGGATTTGGAGGGAAAAATCAAACCAAAAATTGATGTTAAAATGGGTTTTGGATGTTTGTGAAACCCTATAGTGATGCTTAGAAAACCTTAAGCTTTTTTGAAACATCCACACTTGAAATCTGTTCAGGAATGGCTTAAAAAAGCTTAAAGTCTACAAAAAGTGCTGATATTCCCCAGTTATTCATAGTGAACACATTTTTATTGAAATTTGAATCTCTTTTTGAAAATCAGTTTTTGAAACACATTTTTGAAACTTTTGCGGAAACAATTTTGAAAAATCCGTGGAATGCAGGTTAAATTTGAGCTCAATTTTGAAATTTGGTATCTTTTCCTTTTGAAATATTGTCATTTTTCAGTCACTAAAATTGGGAAGGGCGTCTTACCTATGGATAAGAGTAAGACTTATTCATCAACAGGATTGGCTTATTCAGAGGCCTGCTGTGGTACTTGAGTAAATACGGTAATAATGTACATCTGTCTAGAAAGAACCTGACAAATTAAGGAAACTTCCATTGTAAGAAAGTTGAGAAGAAGAAAAATAGTTTGATTACCGGGGCGACTGCACTGGATCCGGCTGAGCGTGGCAGACAGTTCGGACTCGTTGTCGACCAGGCATTCAGGACCGGAAGAGTCGGAGCTGGGAGACTCGGAAGCAGGTTGTGAATGACGCCGGAAGAGCATTTTGTCCTGCTCCATGAGCACATCCTCCAGTTGCTCTTCCGGCATGTTGGTGCTTGTGCGCTTGCGTCCGCGTGGCTGTTGTTGCTGCTGCTGTTGCTGATGTCGGGAATGTCGCTTGTTGTTGTTGCCTCCGTGTCGTTTGTTGCCTGCAACTGCAACTGCTTCCGTCACGTATGTGTTGGTCAGTTTCCCTTGTGGCACCGGTGATACCATCATCTGAAAAAGGTGAGTATATAAAAGGGAATGTACAGTACTGTACGAGGGTTCTAACAAAAGTTCTCGGAGTAGCAATGAAAATGGCATACAATTGAGCTGAAAAAATGTATTCTTTAGCAAAAATATATTCTTTGGCAAACCAAAAAAATCAGCCCGGTTTGACAATTTTTTTAAATTTTTTTTTGTGTGCCAAAGAATATATTTTTGCTCAAGAAAATATATTCTTTGGCACACAAAAAAAAAATCAGCCCGGTTTGACAATTAAAAAAAAGATTTTTTTGTGTGCCAAAGAATATATTTTTGCTAAATAAAGAATAATTTTTGTTCAGCTCAATTGTATGCCATTTTCATTGCTACTCCAAGAACTTTCGTTAGAACCCTCGTATATTCAAAGATGGAACATCCAGTAGAGTGAGTAGACAATACAGGATAGCATATTGTTAAATACATATACAGTATTATCATAAAAAAGTAATTTAAAAAATTTGCTTGATAGGTTCTCAAGTATAATACAGTCCTCCCCCGTCTAACGGACTTAATTTGTGCAACGAACAAGTCCATCAGACAAAAATTTTTTGAGAAGAATTCAATAATATAATTACAAATTTCAATTTTCAACACCAATTTTAAGCCAAAAGAAGTCTGTTCGGCAGATTTTGTCTGTTGGGCGGGCGAAAAAACGACCTGCAGAGCTGGTCTGTTATAGGCAAAAATACCTTAGGCGGCAGGTCTGTTAGGCGGGGGTCATTATAATCACATTGTTAGTTGAATATATGCAACAAATGTGTTCTTATAAGGAAGTTTTTTGGGGTTGTAATGGCTTTATCATCCTAGCTGAAGAAGGTAAGTATGAGCACATTTTTATTCAAAGATGAAGCATTTGGTACACAATAAAATATATATTGTTGAAGCATTTCTTGTCATAATCAGTACCCACAACACATTTACTTCACAGGTTCCTATGAAGGTGCAATGTTATTTTAATTTTTTTAATGACACACTTGTGGTAATTTTTTGGAGCTTTTTGTGTTCGCAATGCATTTGTTGTACGAATTTGTTACTTTATTTCCTTCTGATGAGAAGTGTACAAGATTTTCTGCCGGTTAGATGAGCTCATTCGTACAGTTCATTTTATTCATACCGAAAAGCTATTGGGAACAGTAAAAAGCTTTTTACGCATGAAATTCATCAATATGTTAAGCCATGAATACTCCTACTAGATCAGTGCTGCCCAACTCAAACGTTTTCATGGACCAAATTACTGTAAATAGAATAATGTTTTTGTCGCCAAGGGCCAAATGGCAGAGAAGGCGAGTCCTCGCGGGCCACAGTTGTGATTATTTTTTTGTTCCAAATTTTTATTATTATTTTAAATATAAGTTTCACATTTAATTTACTGATGTGCATTGCATCAATCACAAGTATAGCCCACACTGTATAAGGATTTTGGATGGTTGGAGCCAAATTTTTAATTTTAGAATTCATTTTTCAATATATTTTTGGACAGTGGCAGCTGCTACCTTTGAAAATTGTAGAGAAGGGACCAGGGACAGACGGAGAGTCTATGCAGGCCAGATCTGGCCCGCAGGCCAAATCTTATTGAGCACAACGATCTGTTAGATTCAGAGGAAACCCTTGGCCTGCCAACAATTCGAAGATGTTTCATCTTTCCGGGTGATATTAAGGTGTTGCTCGAATAATTCACGCATGATATTGCGATGTTCGAAGTGAGCTCAATTGAAATAAAGTTCAGTAAGCCCAGGGTAAATCTCGCAATGGTCGGACATGATTAAAAGCATATACAGTATAGGCAACCATTTATACCGTGATAATTAATTCAAAGCGTTCATGTCAAGTACGAGAATTTCTGATTATTCGGGAGACACGTCTTTTTAAAAGCATCACAACTAAAAATCTACAGTTGCTTCGCGATGCTTCCCGACATGAAGTTGTCTGCGAAAACATGACGTCATACGTCGGATAATTCCCAAATTAAGTCATCGTTTTAGTCGCTGAGGGAAAAGAAATCTATATTTGTATCACAAAGAAAGAAGACGACTGTAAACTGAAAAATACAGCCATTTTACAATGAACTGACGACGTGTCCAGTTCGCCGAATTTTTGGCATTGTGAATCAAGATATGTCAGCCTTGCTCACCTGCGACATCTTCAGGGCTTCCGGAGGATGAATCAAGCATCTCGGAGGTGGCGGTGCTTCAGAAAGCAGTTTGTTGAAGTCGGTCGACTGGTGTTGCATGATTTCGTGGTACGTCGCATACGGGTACACGTCATCATTCGTCGTCCCAAGATTCCCTAAATGCGCTAACAAATGTATATGAAAATTGAGAAACATGTAGTCTCTGTGGGAATATCCCCGCTATTCACGCAGCAAAACACGAAGAAATAATAAAACGTTGCAAAATAGAACAACGTGAATAATCAGAGTAATCCGATATTCTACACAGAGGGGATTTTTAACCGACAGATAATATAATTTTGGCAACACGGTAGCGTTTCGGTAGATTTATTTGAACCATATTGCCCGTGAAGTCCATTAAACGAATATCAAGTTTCGCAAAATGGCTGATCGGTTTCAAACGCTCCGAACGTCATTTAAGCAAGGAGTTTTCAGCTATTTTTAATGAATTATTCGTCCCAGATACCTCTGACACTTGTTAATCCTTGAGTAAATTACTGAATATCTAGAATGATTTCATCAGCAAAAGATGTAAAATCACATGACAAATTTACAGCGATTAAATTTATCACGATTTTCTCGAAGTAGCCAATGTTTCTTCTGTATGAATTTGGAGGTCCAATGCACAACATTAATCATCAGATGACGAATGATTACTGGGGCTTCTAGCATTGTTTTGAAGATATTTAAGGGAAATTCTTGGATTTCGAGTGATGATACAAATGATATTCACTTCATCATCCCTGCGCCTAACTTTTCACCTCGTCTGATTTTAAAAATCAAAGTAAAATCAACCATGACTTATAAAATTTTCGTAACGCTTGCTGGCATGTTGAAACTTGACCATTATTTTGCCAACTGACTAATCAAAATGGGAATAACTCGTTAAATTCGATATTTCACCTTGCTTAGATTTCCATCTTTTTCGACAAAACCCAGCACCCTTTTTTTTCAAAACCCGCAACCACGCAATGAAACGATGTTGAAACGCAAATGCGAACAAACATTTTTCTTCCAATTCGAGCTCATCGCTGTAATGAAAAGATCGTCCCATAGGAGGAAGAAATTCTCTGAAGTACTGTACTGTATAAGCATCCAGATGATTTTTTTATGTAGCGTATTCGCTCCGAAAAAATGTATGCAAAACCAGAGAACGTTTTCGAATTCCGGCTGAAATCGCTCAGGATTGCTATAACATGCTCAGTTAATTTAGATTTTCGATTTAAAAAATGAGTTTCATCAATGCGGTAATAAGCTCCTGATGTCCTCATTTCGCATTCTCGTGGAGACCTGAACATTATGAAGCTGTGATGTGTTCCGAACGAGAACTAAATTTCAACGTGTGTTCCAGCGACACCTATGCATGAAAAGCCTAATCGCACCTGGCACGTAAGCAGGGCTCTGCGGTTCGGCCTTCGCGACTTTCCCCTGTGAAAAGCTGCCTCGAATATCCGATCGGTTCACTTGCAAATGGTGATGACCAGAACCGGGTGCAGGTCCGTGCTTGGCATTCAGATCATCATGAACCAATTGCAGCTGCATTCCAAGTCGATGAAGTCGCCCTTTTCGCAGAATCGAGAGAAAAAAGGATCCAAGATAAATTCTCATATCTATGTACTGTATGTATAGTAATCGCAATAGAGTGCTCGAAACACGTCGAGACTTGTAGCACGAAACTTGTGCTTCAATGAACCTTGAAAACGAAGAAGAAGGTCAAAAATTCAGCATTTGAGAACAGTATACAGTGAAATGCAGTACTGAAGCCATAATCACAAAGTTATTCTGTGAAGAAACATTTTTTCGCAAGCATTCACTTGCTACATCAGGTTTCGTTTCGAAGTCAATGACTTTTAAAATTCGTGTGTCGAGTGCATTACTGCATCTGATCAGCGCAATACTGTATGCTGAATAAAATTAGGCCTAGATTTCAATTAAACAAAGAATTGGTAAAATTGTCAGTATAGTACTGAGAGTGGGATAGGGTCATACAGACAAATCAAGATAGACAATTTGATACTGGGCAAATTGAGGTGGAAAATTTGAGAAAGGGAAAATTTGAGACAGAAACTTTTGGAGACTGGGACAATTTGTGACATGGTCATTTAGAGACAGTCCCAAAGTAACACTGCACACACAATTTTTATTTTATTTTACACTTGAATTTCTGGTATTTCCCCAAGATTATTTGTGAATATTGGGGAGTTTCAAATTGTATACTGAGGAATTTTATAATCTTTTGAAAATTTAATTATTTGAATAATGCTTTTTTCAGAAGTATTCCATGATAATATTTTGTTGCTATATAGTAATTTTTTCTATACATGGTGTTAAATATTGAAATTTTTGCAATTTTACTTCGCAATAAGAGAATATTTTGTGCAGTTTACCTCTGCCAATATTTAGAAAAATTACAAAATATGTGCTGATCTTTTTAACGTGTACTGTATTCCAGTTTATGACAATGGATCAAGACAGGAATGAAAGCAAGGAAAAGCTTCTGTCTCGAATAGTCCTTGTCTCAAAATTATCTCTCTCCAAATGTACCTGTTTCTAATTATCGTTTTGTCTCCAAAAGCTTGTCTTGAATTTGCCCTGCATTGAATTGGACCTGTCTCCAATTATCTGTCTTGATTTTTCCTAGATCCGTACAGAACATTGATTGAAATCTTCCATTTCCAGAATTTGTTTTTTTTTTTTATAAAATTGAGCTAACAATTCAATCATAAATACAATCAAGGTACTCCTCTGATATTCTGGAAATCTGTATTATTATGAAAGATTGTCATCCAACATTAAAGGAGGCGAACCTGTTCTTTTTTTTTTTCTTTCCGCCTCATGAAACAGCGGTGCGATTAACAATCAATGACGTCTTTCATGCCAATAATCCGGTTTGCGAACAGTACAAAGTTAACGGGGTTAAACTCACTCGCTCTGACGCAGTAGGTAACACCAGCAACGACGGAAACCAGTGCCAGCAGGACTGTGCACAGGGGCAACCAGAACCTGGCCTGGTACAACAGGCCGCGGTCGTTGCTCGACACTGCTTCGTTTGAAGACGGCATCGCAGGTCTCACTGAATCTGCAAACAAATATAGGCGCATACAGCATTCGGTTCAGAGAAAAAAAAAAGAAGACTTGAATTTGGACCATGAATACGCTCTCTTGATGTTCATGCTGCTCATGTTCACGTACCTCATCTATCATGCCTATGAATAAAACATCGTCCAGTTAATTATGCGATATATTTGCGGTACACTGTATACCAATCGCACTAGAGAATACGACAGGGCTTCAAACAACTTTCTATATAGGACTCCGAATGTTTTGTGAGCTGAAGATAATGTACTTTAATTTCCGTATTTCCTCAAGTACCAAATATGGCTAAATGTTTTGTTAAAATTTAGAGGGAAAAAAGGTGCGCGTCATAAGCGGGTACAATATACACATTTTTCAAAACGTTTCTCGAAAAAGTTTAAGCATGCACTAAAATAGATTCCTTCGGGAAAATTTCGGACCAATTTTACCAGAAAAACAAATTTTTTAACCGATTGAAAATTAATAAAATTCAGGTTCAGTTCATGTCTCAATTCAAATTTGGGTTTTATTTTTTTTGAAATGCAGTATTGCAATTTTAGAGTCATTAAAGATGGGATGCATGTCTCAGTTGAATGTATAATTCGTAAAAACAAAAAAGTGGACAGGAAAAACTTGGTGCGTGTCTTACTTAAGGGCATGTGGCACTCGAGTAAATAAAGGAAACAGTATATTTTGAGGACTTACTTTTTGAAAGAATCAAAGCAAAAATCGGTGGAAAGGAAACTAATTTTTCGTCATCTACAAGCATCATCAATGATCGATCTATTTTCTGGTGCAGTAGAGTTCGGATAGGATTAGGTACAGTATTT